CAAAACATGTACAGTTATTTACAGCTCAGTCATCCATCAAAACATAACTATGAGAGTTTCAAAAAATACTCGAGGATGACCCGAAAGCAAAAATTTAAGGGTCATAAGCCATCTGTTTTTCAGTATATCAAAACCCTTTGTATCATCCAGACCTTCAAAAGCTCTTCTATTCCTATCTTTCCATACAGTCCATATGAGAGTGAGAGGAATAATATCAGCAAAGATGCAACTGTCCCTACGACACTCCCACACCCATAACTCTTCCTTAACAGTGCCTGACATTACCCAGCTAATCCCCAAACATTTGTAGACCATGCTCCACAATGGATAAACAACTGGAAACTGCAATAAGAGGTGTCTGCAGCTCTCCTCGGTTCTGTTTACAAAGGTAGCAAGCATTAACCAAAACTAAACCCCTTCTCCTGAGTTTATCAATTGTCAAAATGCACTCCCTGCTAGATTCACATTATAATGCATTCACGTATCAGTGCCATTCACATTATAATGCATAAATATCCATTTTGAGATCCTATGTTTCCAGGTTTAAGAAAAGCTTGGCTGGGTGGAAGTACATTTCATTGTCCAAATATGCGCGGTTAACTCTCATCAAAACCACATTACTAAATCTGCCAATAAATTACCTCTCTCTTTTTTGTATCCCAGCTACCATTGCCAGCATGTTGAATTCCATCAGATATCAGTTCTTGTGGGATATTACTGATGACCAGTGTCAATTACATTTGGTAGTTGAGGACTCAATTAAGAAAACACCCAGGGATGGGGAGTCTTTGCTCTTGGGTGAGGTTCTTGGTTAACAAGGCACTTCTCAAAAAAAAAACTGCTTTGGAAATAATGGGTAGTAGCAGACATCTATAAGAGAAGGTGATAAAACAGGCTTGTTGAGAGCGGGAGGACTTCTAGGGCAGAAAGGTGGCTGGCCTTATAGCTGCATTCAGTTTAAGGTGGCATCAACTCAACGGTAAGGAGTGGAAGGTTAATATGGTCTTCTCTTCACAACCATTCGGGAACATAGAGAATCCTGTGAGTCAAAGGATGCTCATGTCAGAAAGTGGTTTCCTATTGTATCCAACAAGGTAATATGGTATTAGAAGTTTACCAGAATCCTAATGTCTGGAAAGTGGATAACTGGCTAATATTCACCATTATCCAGTTTCATCTATTTTGCACCTGAGGCTGCTGATCAGCTGGTTTGGTAGCTGTCTACCAACTTTTTCTGTAAAGTCATATTTCCTTCACTTTGAACCAGAAGCTGCTCATGGTGATTTCCTTTGAAACAAATTTGGAAAATGAGTGTGCCTTATCCATATTGTGTCCTTTGCCTAGGAGGCAGCTTGGAAAAGGATTCTCTCTCATCTTTTTTTTTTTCTTGGACTTGCTTAATGGCTACTGCCCTTGCTGGATACCTGGGGAAGTTGGGGAAGGATCCTACAATCTCAGGAAAGGAAGAAGAGCTGGCCCTTATACAAAGAGACAGCCGGGTCTCCTGGCTACGTGTTATTGCAGTGCTCCCTGTTCCATAAGATGGGATGTATTTCTTCGAGTTCCTCAAGTTGAAATGGGTTATTGGAAGCTCTATGGCTAGTGAACTCTTAGTGTTAAGGGCAGGACATACGAGGGCTTTTTTTGGGTTTCGTTTGCCTTTTGGTAGGATTAGGGATCTTTGGCACCAGATAGTCAGTCTTTATGTTTAAGGATCATTCCCTTCTAAGGAGGACCTTAGGGACTGGCTAATACGTTGACTAATATGTAACCCATTCTTTTGTATATGGGTGACACCATCTTAGTGCTCTGTTAACATACTTTTTTGTAAGATATTATGCATGCAGATCAACATATACTTCAAATAAATTTTTCTAGTTTTGCTAGCAGACAAATTTTTTATTAAAGTAAAACACAAATTTAAGTAATGAATTATATCACTATGGGTGGGATGATTTTGGGCAAGTTATTGATGTACTAACTGATTTGTAAATAGTTTTGTACATGGGTTGCACCCCCTTGGTGCCATATATATAATATACACGCTATTTTTATCTCAAAAAGAAAAAAATCACTAGAATGAACCCTTCTTAGCAATGAGATGTTATGTTAATAGTTCATCAAGGAGTCAATATTTGGAAAAACTTTTTTTTTTGAGATATAAGTGTAAAGTGTATTAAAAGAGGCACCAAGG